TATGCCTCTTGTATGTTGTTTTGTGGAACAAAGGCTGAAGTCAGCTCCCCCAAGTCATTGCCCAGAATAACGTCTGCCGGTAAGTCCTGCATGATGCCCACTTCCATGTCCCCTGACCCCACTCCCCAATCCAAATGTACCTTGGCAGTAGGAATTTTGTAGATTGCTCCCCCTGCCACTCATACTGCCATGCAATCCCCAGTAAGTTGGTTCTTTAGGACAAGGTGGTTACGGACCAACGTTAAAGTGGCCCCAGAATCCCGCAGTCCCTGGATACGTTTCCCTTCCATATGTACCACTTGGCGATGTCCTTGACGGTTGTCGGATGCGGCCTGGACAGGGTTGACTTCAAGTAGGGTTCCCAGAGTTTCTTCTGCTGATCCTGCTGAGTTGGACTGAGGTCGGGTTTCACTCTGATAGCAGTGCACCACTGCCAGGGTATTGGAGGAGTTGTTCTGGATGTTCCACGCTGGTTGGCTCCGGTTCCGGGGGCAGTCTCGCTGTATGTGGCCCTGTTGGTTACAGGTGTGGCAGTGGATCAAGGACCGGGTGGTGTACCTTGGTGGCTGCTGGTAATTTCCCCCCCCCAGGTCGAGGTGGGGGTGGTGTGGCTTGGGCTGGCGGTGATGCGACTGTTCCAGTAAACGAACGTGGCTGTGCCCATTGCGGTCTCCTGGCATTCGTCTGCTAACTTGGCGGCGTCATGAAAAGTACGGGGTTTTCGATCACTTAACCAGTTCTGTAGGTCCAAGGTTAGTCCCTTGAAAAATTGTTCTAGCAAGATCGACTGTAACATATCTTCCACGGTAGTGGCCTGTGCCGCCTGTAGCCATCTCTTCGCGGCACTAGTTAACCGGTGTGCCCTTTCTGCATGGGAGTCCTTGTCTTGCTTCCTGAGCTCCCGAAAATTTTGCCGGTATGCCTCTGGGGTGATGGCATATCAGGCCAGAATAGCCTGCTTCACCTTCTGGTAATCCCTGCAGTCCTCATCTGGCATGGTGCGGTATTCTTCTGCGGCACGGCCAGATAATTTGCCGGCCAGCAGGTGTACTTGGTCTGCTGTGCTGATGTCGTGTAGTTTACACAGTCTTTCAAAGTCCTGTAAATATCCATCAATGTCCTCCTCCGTATCGGTACAATTTTTAAAAGCATGGTAGGGAATTTTAGGTTTTCCCTGAACAATGCTGGACGGAGTCGGGGATCCCTCCCTGGATCGCTGGTTGGCTTGTTGTCTGGCCATTAAATATTCATGCACATCAGCCATTATCCTTCCCACCATTTCTGTGGACGGGGTTTCAGGGAAAAATGCCAACCTGCTCCTGAGTTCCTTCTCATATTTCGTCCGATCCATTTCCATTTGAGGGGCTGCAGCGGTTGCTCTGTCTCCCTACATGAGCTCAGCAATCAGGGTAGCCTTGGTTTTGTTGCTTGCTATTATTCCCCTTGCCTCCAATAATTCTTTCAGCGTGGTTCATTTTAGTAGTGCATAATTTGTCTCCATTCACCATCCGTTCGTATAAATCCACATATTCCCGAACTCCAGTTTTATCCGAATGGTTATTTCCACGAATTGCTGCTTTCTTTCCTCTGTTCGTATAAATCCTGCCTAACGCGGTGTGGTTTGAATCCCGTCGCTTGCCACCAATTGTTGCGGAGGAGCAGGGGTTAATCCACGATATCTCCGCTGGTAGTCAGGATTCCACATGTAAAACACAGCGCAGTATAATTCCCTCTTTCCCAAGGACTAGATGACACATAGTCTGAGAGTATACTGAGGCTTTATTGCAAGGTCACCACATTTATACGATTCCCCATGCAAGGGGTTTCCAGACTGTTACTGCAGGGGTTATAATCAGGTGGACTGTGTGGGAAACTGACCATGCAGGGTCATTTCCCATCATTCCTTACTGTACAAGGGAGGTGATAACGTAACCAGGCACAGATAATTAGATTATTACTTGGTACAGTGAGCCAGACCTTTTTACATTAAAATCTATAAAACACACAATTTCCAACAGAATTGACCTCATTGGATTGCAGGGATCTGAGCGTACCTTCAGGCGAAATACCGCTCAGATCCCTGCAGAAATAACCGAACGCCACATGAAATACAGTTTTAAGTGAACAGGTAATGAGAGGAGAGAACACACGAAATGCTTTAATTTACCAAAAGAGCGAGTTGCCCGAACGGTCTGGAAGTCCAGCGGTGTTTGGAAGTCAAGTAGCCGATTTTAGTTACAGTCACTCGACGACCAAACACTGCTGAACTTTAGCGAGCAAAGATGGCCGCCGCCACGTGTTCGGCATACGAACGGCGGCCACCCACGAAACCCATTAACAAGCGGTTGAAACAATGTTGCAGCTAGTTAATGGAAGACACACGACCCCATTGGTGTGGTCTCCCATTCGGCAGTTATTTAGTTTCAAGAACAGTGTTGTAGGTTACTGTTCGTGAAACTCACAGTTAAATGCTGGCAGCTTTTCGTGCCGCTAGCATACAAATGCTTCATTCACTTAACACATATAGCAGACATTTCGACCATTTACAGTTGTTAAAGTAATCCCAATTCATGAATGTATTTTATAGTCTTAAGTGGCTAGGTTTGCCACAGACTGCAATTAGACCATGGAGCCTGCACTCTTACTCCCTCACAGAGCTCTTCAACTACGAGGGACAGCAATTAGAACATGGACCCCACGCCTCCACTCTGACTCCCTCACAGAGCCCCTGAGCTACGAAGGACAACAATTATACCATGGACCTCACGTCTGCACTCTGACTCTCTCATAGAGCTCCGGAAGTAGCAATGACCACAATTAGACTATGGACCACCAGAGAATCATTTTTATTTGAAGGGTCATGCAAGAAGATCCCAGGCCCTAAAAGGATTGCTATGTCACTTAATGCATAATTCGACTCTGAACTAAGTCCCCATTATTTTTGACTGTCAGGTGTTTTTAAAAATGTATTAAAAGTATTGGTTTTGACTATGCATACCTGGGAAGTCGGGTGTATGTAAACCCTGAATGCAGCGTTTCTGCATGGGTGACTCATAACACAATTAAGTTACTTGCCACTGCAACCCTGGAGGGTCTATGGCAGGCTCATTGGGGTTCATTTCTACTTGCCAGGTTTTTATTTTCACTTGCCAATTAGAGAGCAAACATTTTGAGCCCTGGTATAAGTTGCAGGATATAATAAAGGGACACTGCCCAAATTAAATTATTAAATTAGTAATAAGTAGATACACCCCAATAAAAAAAAAAAAAATGCACAATTAAATGTATGCACATTGTGGCGAAAACCAACCTCGCCACTGTGAACTGGAGAAGCCTGGTTGCTCGCCTGCTCCCTTTGGACTATGGCCCTGCAGGTTAAACCGTTTATTTCCCCTGCAGAAAGGCTTATTTGTGTGATCTGAGTGCCATTCATCTAATAATGTGCACTCAGATCCCAGCTATCTGGGGATATGTGAAATGTCTGTGTGTTATGTGAAAAGGTTACTTTATGTATTTTAAAGTGTTTTGTGTCTTTTTGCAACCATGTGCTTAATGGAGTCTTGTGTCTGTCCTGGGAGATAATTGAATTACTTATCTCCAGGATAGAAGACTCTGAAACTGGTTTGGGCCAGAAAGCCATGCTTCATTTAGTCACAAAGGACTTTCCCTTAACTTTTGAACCCCTGGTCTGATTCGTGCCATTTTTAATATGTTGTTCCCCTGAATGGATTGATTATGAAAATGTATGTTTTATGTTTGTGACATGTATATTTTAGAAGTTATAAATATTGTGTAAAAACTGTATTCCTCTGCCGGTGATAATGAGATTACCCATTGTGTTCAGTAATCATATCACCTGCAGAGGGGAGGATTTTGTGTGGGAGTGTCTGGGTGTATTGTATGGATTGATTGGTTGTTTTGTAACGCCCTGTGGGCTGTACTATGTTTGTGGATTGGGAATAAAAGAGACTGTATGTGACAGTACAGGAGTTCCTGTTTTAACCCTCAAAGTGAAGTGTCGTCTCATTATTGGGGGAAGGATTTATTGTATGCTGTTCCAGTTTGACTGCTAGGAGAGTAAACCTATTCGTATGGTTTCCTATTCAACTGTCTACAGCATTCAGATGCTTGGGAGAATTTATTTGTTTCTCCGGTTCGGTGATTGTGGTGTCTGCCAGAGTGCTTGGAGTCCTCGGGAAGCGCTAGGAGCATCCTTCAACGGAGGTACCCAGTCGGGGTGCCAGGCGATCCGTTACACACATGTTCATAGGGGATATCTAAAAACAATTTGTAAAAGCTTCAGATTTCTTGTCTGTAGCATTTGCCAGCCCTCCCCTTCTAACCCCGCCCAGACTTTCTGTGACTGTCCAATCACAGACTTCCCAATACAGCTCAATGAGAAGTATTTGCAAGGCAGGTGCTCTGGGCAATTGCTGCCCCTTGAGTTTAACTCCACTGAGCTAAACAACCAGGAAGTAACAGGACCTGGTTTCTGACAGCAAGAGGGTGTAACCAGGTTAATTCAATAAAAGTGACAATTTCGATTGAAATTATTGTTTATAAAGTGGCAACAATTTCTGCAGTGCTAAACAATAGGTGGATTAACGAACAGTTGCAACAAGACAAGTTGGACACACAGGAACTGAAGGTGATAAAGGCCCTGTGCTAATGGGTTTAATTCTAGGGGGAAATCAGCATTTTTTGTAAAATGAGTAAAAAAGGACAGTCTTCACACTTTGAGCAATCTAAACTGCTTTGGGTGTCCATTACATGTTCTGTATCTGAACAATTCTTTCATCTCCTTTCTATAGTGTAAACGCAGCTGTTATGTTCATTGTGGACTTGCTACAGTAAGTAAACAGAGCCGTTTTCCCAAATCCCTGCAAGTTAGTGCAGTTCCATGCTGGCGTTAAACAAAAGACACACCATGAAAAACATTTATTAAATAATGACGTAATTAATGCCTGTTTTCTAATTCTGGGAGTCTTTCATCAGTATCTCGTCGCTATAAAGGTCGTCACGTTCCTGGTGATCCACTGGGAGGGAGTGATGGGAGTTGGTAGAAAGAAGCTTATTTCTGCTACTAATTAACCCTGTTCTACCCCCACCTGACTTAGTTAATAACATCTGGCCCATAAATAACAACTTTGGGTTAGACTCTCTGATAGCTGGAATCTGGAAGACAGATGTGGACACATTCCTTCTGCTGTGGCAGCCCTCTGTTGCCTGATGTGTGTATTTGATTAGGTGTTTGTCCTTTTCACTATAATTGTATATGTGGCACTCTGCACATACACACTGACACAGAGCCCCCCTTCTCAGTCTGTGTTGGTTTTAAATCCTGAGGGAAAGAGAGAGCATCTTACACAGAAGGAGAGTTATGGGAAAGTATTAGGAGACAAAGAAGGGCCAGTCGGTGCCAGGAGAGGGTCCAGCTTGCAGCAAGAAAACAGAATCTGGCCAGTACATGGTAGAGGATAAAGCTACATCCAGAAAAGTGTGTGATCAGTGCCAGGAGAAGGCCCAGTCCGAGCCAGGAGAGATTGGGGTCTAGCCAGAGCTAGGGGAGAAAGGGCCAAGCTAAAGACAGGACGGTGTCCGGCCAGGAGAAGAGAGGAACTAGCCGGAAGCAGGAGAGCAAAGGGACCAGCCACATCCAGGAAAGGAGGAGGTCCAGGCATAAAAACAGAGGGTGCAGATCTAGTAGAGGAGAGGGACCATAGGGAGGCAGGAGAGGTACAGCCAGGAGAGGGACCATCCCGTACTACAAAGAGGAATCCTGGAATTAGATAAACGCAGAGGAGGAGACGGATACCGGGAGTAAAAACGTATCAGGAACACCAAAAACAGAAGAAAAGAACCATATTTACATGCGTGGAAAAGGTAAGAGACGGATGCGGAAATTTGAGGGGAGAGTTTTAGTGGGGACAAGTATACTGTAATTTAGAGGGGGGGGGGTAAGTGTTAATGGGGCACATTTATAATGTACAGAACAGGGGAGAATGTGTTAATAGGGAGAGTTATAATGTACAGAACAGGGGAGAATGTGTTAATGGGGAGCGTTATAATGTACAGAACAGGGGAGAATGTGTTAATGGGGAGCGTTATAATGTACAGAACAGGGGAGAATGTGTTAATGGGGAGTTTATAATGTACAGAACAGGGGAGAATGTGTTAATGGGGAGCGTTATAATGTACAGAACAGGGGAGAATGTGTTAATAGGGAGCGTTATAATGTACAGAACAGGGGAGAATGTGTTAATAGGGGAGAGTTATAATGTACAGAACAGGGAGAATGTGTTAATGGGGAGAGTTATAATGTACAGAACAGGGGAGAATGTGTTAATGGGGAGCGTTATAATGTACAGAACAGGGGAGAATGTGTTAATGGGGAGCGTTATAATGTACAGAACAGGGGAGAATGTGTTAATGGGGAGCGTTATAATGTACAGAACAGGGGAGAATGTGTTAATGGGGAGCGTTATAATGTACAGAACAGGGGAGAATGTGTTAATAGGGAGAGTTATAATGTACAGAACAGGGGAGAATGTGTTAATGGGGAGCGTTATAATGTACAGAACAGGGGAGAATGTGTTAATAGGGAGCGTTATAATGTACAGAACAGGGGAGAATGTGTTAATGGGGAGAGTTATAATGTACAGAACAGCGGAGAATGTGTTAATGGGGAGAGTTATAATGTGCAGAACAGGGGAGAATGTGTTAAT